ACTTTTCCACATAAAACAGTTCTTACACTTGTCTTTTAGACCATTTGCCAATTTTACATAGACTTAGTACATGTAAGAAGTATAACATTAAGGCAATTCACCTTACAAACATGAGATGAATAATAAATATTTAAAATCTGGTATCTAATTAATAATCTTGTTAATTAAAAAGAAGAAGTGGTCACCAGGCAAAGCAATCCAATTGGAGAAGAGTAGAGGACTGGCTGGAGACACTTTCTATAAAACAGAGCTCTCTCCAGCACTGTGGCAGCCAGCACAACATGGAAGTTCCAGCTGGTTAGGTCATGCTGCTCTCAGGATTGGCTGATGCTCTGTGCAACTCATACAACTCCTTCCTCCAGCCGACATTCTACCTTACTGTCAAGAATTTGCATACTTTCAAAAATTCCCCAAGCTGAAACTTCGATGACAGAGGGCACACTTCAGTATAGCAAAGCATACAACATAATGCTTCTCCTATAGTGTATAAAGATACATGGTATTACAACTGAGAAACATTAACCAAAATTCTTGTTTTTTTCAGGGGTGGCAAGAGTGGTGATTAGAAGGGCCATTTTTGTTGGGGGGAAAAAAGCAGATATTTGTTTTCAGCCACTCCCCATAAAAGTCTTCAATGAAACAACAGAACATTTGGGAATAGTAAGATTAATTACAATATCCCATATCCAAACATTTTGACACTTGTTACTGGTTAAAAGTAATGGTTGAAAACAATAACAGTTAGTTAGTGAAGATAATCTAATATACCATAGAGACTCAAATCTGTTTTGAAAATTAAATAATTCTTCCTAGAAATACAGGTCTTATTTAACATATTTAGTTTTAAGAAATTGGCTCAGCACCTGTAGCTTAGTGAGCAGGGTGCCAGCCACATACACCAAAGCTGGTGGGTTCGAGCCCAGTCCAGGCCTGCTAAACAACAATGACAACTGCAACCAAAAATAGCCGGGCACTGTGGAGGGTGCCTGTAGTCCCATCTACTTGGGAGTCTAAGGCAACAGAATTGCTTAAGCCCAAGAGTTCAAGGTTGCTGTGAGCTGTGATGCCAGCACTCTACCCAGGGCAACATAGTGACGCTCTGTCTCAAAAAAAAAAAAGAAAAAGAAAGAAAGAAAGAAAAAGAAAAGAAAAAAAATGAGATAACCAACTCCTTCAATATAGGGACTCATGTTTCATAAATAACAGGAGGCACTTGAATTACAATCAGACTACTGAAATACTCATAAGCAAACCACACCTACAAGCTCAAGACAATTAAGAAGCCAAAGCACAGTCAAAATCAACCCCGGACCACTGGTTAGTTTTCTTAAATTAAGTCATTTTTACATTTCCACTTTAAGATTCACAGATTCGGAGCAGCGCCTATGGCTCAGTGGATAGGGCACCAGCCCCATATACAGAGGGTGGTGAGTTCAAACCCGGCCCAGCCAAACTGCAACAAAAAAATAGCCCGGCGTTGTGATGGGCACCTGTAGTCCCAGCTACGCAGGACGCTGAGGCAAGAGAATCACCTATCAGGCGGCCTCAAACGATGGACCTGGGGCCACATGCAGCCCGCCTAGGACATTTATCCGCCCGCAGGTGTTTTTGCCACCGCTGCCTGTCCTGCTTAGCAGCTGACTCGTCCAGGGGCCCAAAGTTCGGCCCTCCAATGGTCTGAGGGACAGTGAACTGGTCCCCTGTTTAAAAAGTTTGAGGACTCCTGAGCCCAGGAGTCAGAGGTTGCTGTGAGCTGTGTGATGCCATGGCAGTCCACCGAGGGCGGAGGACAATAAAGTGAGACTCTGTTTCTACAAAAAAAATTAATAAATAAGATTCGCAGATATGTAATAAAAGATCACATGATTTCTCTAGAAATAATCTCCTTTCATTGGTGTACATTTACAGTCCAATTCACCTCACCCACCCTTGCTGCATCAGTAAAAGTTATTTTACCACCCAAATTAATTGCTTTTATGAATGTTAGCAACTTGATAGAGGAAAAAACATAAACATAAAATAAAGCCAAACAAATCCTAAGACACCATCAAGGCTTTTAAAGACTTGTTTTAAAACCAACGTGATGGACAATATCAGCAATAGTCAAGAGAATGCTCTGTTCACCTTATTACTCACAGCTATGAAAATAACAAAAACAGGAAAGATCTACTCACCTAAAAACTCTCCTATAGATTATATATAATCATATTTTGATGTCCAGCAACTCAATTCTAGGAAATGTCTACAAACTGAAATGTCTGGATTAGGCACCTTTCTTCCAGTTTTCTAGAAAACATCTATAATACATCTATAACAGAGCAAAACATAAAACCAACACAAAAAACCTTCTCATTCAGTTTTGGCAGTTCATTGTGAGGGAACTATCAACAGCTAGACCCACTAGACTCTTAAGTGTCAAAAAAAAAAAAAGGGGGTGTGCTATTGAATTTTTCACTTTCTATAAATTACATGACAGCTCACAAGAGAATAATTTTGAATCTCAGTATCATCTTTTCTCATTAGAAGACAATAATACAAGCAAAACAATAGTTTTACAAAATTAAAAGAATTATTAATTCAGAAATAATCCTTTTCTGTTTTCAGATGAAGTAACTATATACCCCCACACATTTATATAATTTATAACTCAATTAACACATTAATAACAAAATACATACTAAAACATTGAGTCAACATAAGGTAGATTTAAAATAAGATTCACCACCTAGCTTCCTTCACCTCACAATAAAAAACATGCTTCTATTATTTTCCTAATGAACGCATCTACTAAAATGCAGGTAAAACTCTTAGTAAAGCACAGCTAGAAAGATGGGTTTTTACCTAAGTGTATTCCATCTCCCTGTCTCAACAAAGATTTAGGGTTATAGCACTTTGATCTGATCTCATAATAAAAAAAGGTAATTTCTCTGGTCCCTTTCTGGCCTTTCTCAATTAGTTTTCCTCATTGAATCACTGAATACAGACAATTATCTAAGGGATTGTTTTCTCAAATGTTCCAAGAATGAACTAGAACATAACTAGAATTGTTCAAAACTGCACGCAGGAGATAAAAGTTCATTGTATATGATAGCCTAGGACATGAGGGCCTAAGTGTCTCCAGAAACCTGGTTGAGAAAGGCTGCCACACAAGTTCTTTGGTGTTACTGTCCTGCTACTAGGCCTCGGTCATCCTAACAGCACTAAAAGAACTGTATTAAGTGCACAAATCTAGGAACTTAGAAAAAAAACAAGCAATTAGGTCTTTTTTACATTCTCCTTTACTATGAATTAACAGCATGAGTGTTAACTGTTTGTCCCTTGTTCTGAGTGGAAAGTATTCACTTTGACAAAATAAACCTATACAACTTTTGTCATAGAAAACTGTCATCCCTTAAAGAAAAATAGTAATTAGCATATTAAATAAACTTGTCAAGCCTTTTCCATTACCCCCTTTTTAATAAGCTTTTAAATATTCATATCTTTTAATAACAGCTAAAAGCAAATTTTCACTTTAAAAAGCAAATATTTTTAAAACCCTGCTGATCCTTTACTCTTGCTCTAATCACAATTCTCAGGAAACTGCCTTTCTTTAATTCCTCCACATAGTGACACCACCACCTTCAATTGTGTTAGTTGTGATCAAATCATAGTAAGTTGTTCTTTTTCTCAAAAACCAATTATTTTTTAAAAATGTCCTAAAGCATGAAAAATTTTATTTATGTAGCAAAAATTATCTTAAAACAAGGTAGCTCATTAAAAGTCAAAAGCTGTTCCATACTGAATGTGCAAACTGTTATAAAAAGATGGGAAAACCTAAACATGACATTCCTATTTTTTGCTAGTGTGAATGCCAAGAACTCGGGACAAAATACACTACTAAATATTTTTACCAATTCCCTAGTCAAAGTCCTTACATTTATCTATATATGTGTAAAGAGGGCACAAAAAATGGAGAGGATGGTGTTTTCACTGTCAGTGCTAAAATTTGATATTTCCAGTATCAGACACATAATGCAATGATATGAGAATGTTTACATCTGTTTCTTTTCATAAAGGGAGAAAGGCATTGTCTTGATTCATTTACTATTAAGTGTTTTGCACTAAAGCAGATCAGTACAAATCTTAATTGGAGAAAAACAGGTCACTTTCCTCAGAATAAGCACAACATTCTTCCAGTTTCTACTAAAAATGGATTTTTTGTCATCAAAAATTTCCTTTTTTTACAAGTGACTTTTCCTGAACTCTAGTCAACAATGCACCTTTATGAATCTAGCCAATTACTGCACCCTGTAGGCACAGCTGTAGTAATTTTTACTTTCCCTCCTTAAGAAACTGTTCAGTTTAGATGCCCTATTCCAATTAAGCAGAACTCACACATTAACTGTGACCTAAAGTAGTTCACTGGGGTTAAAAACACACTTTTCATTTACAGTCATCCAATTAAAGTATACGTAATAGGTGGGAGTACTGACACAGACTTAAAATGACCGCTTTATATTAAGTCAATCCAGAGAAGATGATAACTCCCTTCTTTTTCAAATACTCATACGTTCACCGAGATCCACGGACTTTGGCCTTCAAAAACTACTCTCACCATTCGAGTTCCCAGACAGAACTACATTTAGCAACGAGTCCTCCTTTATAGTACTTCCTGGTACTAAAAGCCACAACCAGAAGGAGAGTTTCGTCGATTTGTTTTAAAACATTTGGTCCATTTATCTCGTTGGGAAAAAGGGGACTTTCTATACTGGGAATTGTTACTGAGGTGAGGGTGTGCTCACGGTGTTTAAAAACAAAGCCCTAAGTCAGGCGATAGCCGCACCGCGGAGATTCAATGCAAATTTTCGTCCCAGGAGTGGGGACCTGGCGCCTGCAAACCCTCGGCACCCGGGCTGAAGGAGAAAAGGAGAGTGTAAAAATAAGCGGCGGCCGCGGCCCACGTGCCGCCACTGCAAGCCAGCCAGAAGGCCGGGCGCCCGCGCGCGGGGAGGGAGCCGTACCTCCAAACATGTGCGGCGAAAGGTGAGCTGGTAAGGAGCCGATCACTAGGCGCGGCCCGCCGGGGCCCCCGCCCGCCGGCCGGTCCCTGCCGCCGCCGCCGTCCTCGGGGCTGCTGTGCACCGAGTCCTGTGAGCCGTACGGGCCGCTGCTGCTGTTGGGGATGTTGAAGGAGGACTGCGCAGCGCGGGCCCCCGATGCCACGCTCCCCACGGCCCCGCCGAGGGAGCGGCTGCGCGGGGCGGCCGGGGCCGCCGAGGCCGCCGCGGCGCCGCCCGAGGCGCTGGGCTGGTGCGCGCCGGGCACCTGAGCCGGAAACCTCCCAGCGGCCGCGGCCCGAGCCCCGCTGCCGCCGCCCGCGGTCCCGTTGGCCCCTCCGCTGCTACTGGAAGGTAGATCCGAGCCTGAATACGCGCGGGTGCGGCCGTTAGCAGCGGCCGGGCCGCTCTGCTTAGCGCCCATGTCCGCCCTGCCCCGGGCCGGGCCCGCGCGCTGCGCTCCGAGTGCGGGGAGGGCGGGAGCGAGCGCAGGAGCGAGAGGGCAGGGCGGAGGCGCCGCGGCCGGCCCAGAGAGGCCCCCGCACGTCCAGGGCCGCCGCCCGGCGCCCCGAGGGGCGATCGGCACCCAGCGCCCTCTTCTTCTCGGGGGAGGCTGGAGAGGCCGGCGGCCTGACGGGGGCGCGAGAGACGAGGCGAGGCGGAGAGGAAGAGAGGGCCCGGCTGCGGGCTAGGCGGGCGCCGCTCGCTGGCTCCGGCGGGAAGGAGCGGCTCAGGTGGCTGTGCGGCTGCCGCTGGTTTCGGTTCTGGTGCGCCACGACGGGTCGCTGCCGCTCTCTGCCGCCGCCGCCACCGCGCTCTGCGCCCGGGGCCTCGGCACCGCCTCCTCCCGGGCGGCCGCCGCTACCGCCGCCATCCTCCGGCTCCCACGGCGGCTCGCGGGTGAGTGGGAGGCGCCCGCCCAGACTCCGCTGGGGCCACCTTCTCCCCTCCCCCAGCCACCCAGCTGTTATTAACGGAGAAAAGAGGAAAAACGGGTGGCGCGTGAGGGGAGGATGGAGAAGGGGAGGGAGGGGTGGCGCGCGCTTCCCGGCAACCGTCGCCTCGCTGTCCCCGCGAGGGAGGGGCGGGGGTATCTGGGCCACGAAGGTGGGGGTGCCTAAAGGGGAGGAGGTTCCCCAGCCCTAGCACCGGAAGGCCGCGGAGTAGCGCGGTTCCAGGGTGCGCCTAGGCCCTTGTGTTTGGGTCGCGCGCGGTGACCCCGCCCCCGTCCCTCGCGCCGCCCGGCGGATTGGCTCCCGCAGCCGGGGCCCCGCCTCGCCAAGGTACCGCGGTACGGTAGGTGATGCCACCCGCGGACTCGCTGATGGACAGGTCTATGGCCCCGCCCCACCGCGGTACCTACGCGGATTGGAGGAACAGATCCCCTCGGGGAGCCAACCAGAAGGCGGCCCCTCCTCCCGCACGTGGCCCGCGGACGCTGTGGAAGAGCGAGTGTCTTCTGCTTTTCCTGATAGGGTGGTGTCCAGAGCCGTTTGGTATCAATGGGTATTCCCCTCCTTGTTGGTGTTACACACTCTAATTAAGAAAACGAAAAATGCAAAAACTCAAAAAGCCAACTTTCTGAATTAGGTTTACCCCATAAAACTCTCCAACCTGGGAAGAGCTGGAGAGTTGGAAGAAGTAAAGATAATCCAGCCCGACCCTCAGAGGTAGGACAAAACTGTGTGCAGAGAAAGTTGCACCTACTCAGGAGACCTGGAATCTAGCTCCAATGCAGAACTAAATTATGTGTGGTAAACGAATTGTTTTGCGGATTTGGACTTTAGGTTCCTCACCTGTAATGTTTGTGTTAAATCCTAGGGCACCTGCACCTTTAATATACTATAATTTCTCAAAAATGTGATTTAATAAAAATCACACGGGCCTAGGCGCACCCTGGAACCGCGCTGCTCCTCGGCCTTGAAGTCCATTCCTAGGTGTAGTGTCGTGGAAATAGCCCGCTCGGACCCTCCCATTTTGAAAATGCCTGAAGAGACTCCTACTTAAAAGTAATAGCCAGTGGTGTTTTGTACAAACTACAGAAATAAATAATTTTGTCTTTTTCGTATTTGCAAAGGCTCCTTTATGTAATGAGTTTTATCATTCTTTAAAAAGTATGGGCATCCAGTTTTTAAACAAGAATACAAAAAAGACATTTACATGCAGTATATAATGAGGACTGTCCTGAAAGTATCCAGCCATGTACCATGAAAAAGAGACATAGTGTCTGGATACTTTCTAGATATGTATATATACACACGTATGTGTAAACAAAGGCACTCAGTGCCACTGTACGGAACATCATGTTAAGACATGGTCATCCTTTTGTTTCAGCACCCTCTAGTTACAGATGTCCCCTGTCACAGTCCTCCTCCTTCTCATCCCATCATCATGAACTGACTTCAGTATTCCTACTGATAGCTGTATAATGCCTCCTTCGTGGCACCAATCATGTTGTTACTGTTATTAGAGTTCTTGCTTTTCAAGAAACAGCTGGCTTCATGATAAATTTCAAATTCATACCCCCAGGATCTAGCACACTGTCTGGCACCTAGGATGGCACAATAAATGTTCTGTGAATAAATCAGTGAATACATACATCTTCCCCAGTCATGCTAACTTGGCTCTCTCCAAGTTGGCAACTCATGAACTTACCGTATTCTTACTCTCCTCTATCTCCTTTATGGTGGGTGCCCCTTCCATCTCCTCTCTGGTGGGCTATTTTGTTTATTTCTCCACAAAGATTCTGGAGATAAAACTGTGGCTTTCTATGTTCTTTTCTTGGCCCTCTTCCCTCTCTCCTCAACCCTCCCATCTCTCTCCAAACTGTAATCCACATAAAGCCGACAATGTGTTTTTTCTCAACCAACCAATTTTGACTCATTTAAAATTTGTCTCTTCTTTATTAGACCCTAGCAGTTCTTCATAAATTAAAAGTGCTGCTTCATCCCAATGAGTACACATGTAGAACAGGAACAAGTTTTATGAGACAATACCCATATTACATGGAATGTCCTTCATTTTCTATTCTGTTTCACTTTTGTCAGATGCTGGTCACTGCATGCTGGATTGATTTCACAACCCACTAATGGATTGTAAACTGCAGCTTGACAAACACTGATCTAAATCAGCACTTTGCAAACTTTAGTACACTGAGAAACCTTGTTAAAACAGACGGGTTCCACCCCCAGTGATTCTCATTCTGTAGTTAAGGGTTGGGCCTGAAGAATTTGCATCCTAGTTAGCAGGCAGCAGGGTGTTGCTGCCACCAGACCTCAGACCACATCTGGAGAAGGCTAGGGAATGGGGGGTGGGGATGCTGCAGCCTTGGGGCCACATGTGGCCCTCCAGATCCCCAGTGTGGCCCTTCAATCAAATCCAAACTTCACAGAACAAATCCCCTTGTTAAAAGGATTTGTTCTATAAAAATTGGATTCAGTCAAAGTGCCAAACTTCAGGATCCAGAAGGCTATATGTGGCCCTGCATGATGTTTCCTGTGCATAATTAGAACTGTTATTTTAATATCCTGGTGACTCTCACAGGACCAGAGCCCCTGTGCCTTAAAATTTCTCATATTTGAAGCTTTTTTATAGTATATATTTTTCCTCCTTTTCACATGGTTAAATAATATTTTGACCAAAGAATTTTGGAATTTGAACTTAGTTTGAATGTTTTGTTACTTCACGTTGACAAAATCATGGCCGGAAACCCACACTGGAACAACTAAGCTATATGTGGGCTTTCAATAAAATGCCCGACTAATCAGTTTGCTGTTGTCTAGTTTGAATTTCAGGTAAGGGGAACCTCTTCCCTTTGGCCCTTATTCTCCTTTGTGTTCTCCTTCCCTCTTTGCTCCCTTTTTCAAAGCTGTGCTGGATCACACCTTTGATGCATGGGATAGCGTATTTACCTCATAGGGCAGACCTGTGGCACTCAGTCCCCTCAGTTGGAGCCCAGAGGCTCCCACCAGGGTTCTCCTGCAGCCGGCACCAGCCCTACACATGTTCAAGTCTTTGCCAGCCAGCATCAGCCCTACACATGTTCAAGTCTTTGCCATCCTGCTTTTTCTCATTTTAAAATGAATAGTATTTTAAAGATGGCCATGGTTTTACCATTTTTTTTAATAAGTGTTCATACACTACCTGGTTTTGGTTTTTTGTCTTTTTTTTTTTTTTTTTTTTTTTTTTGTGGTTTTGGCCAAGGCCGGGTTTGAACCTGCCGCCTCTGGTATATGGGGCCGGCACCCTACTCCTTAGAGCCACAGGCACCGCCACGCTACCTGGTTTCTTTACCAAAAATGGCACTGTATGTATAATGATCTATCTTTTAAATAGGTCTTTTTTTCCTATTATTATATTTATTTTATTTAAAAAAAAGAATGGACCATCTAAGCATTAAAGTTTATCTTAATATATTCTACAGAAAACACTGTTTAAGATTTCAGTGGGGACTAGAGACTTGTAAATTCTAAAACTGAAAGCATTTAGGAATGGCATTGTTGGCTAATTTTTCAGAGAACAATAATAGTTTATATAATGTCTTTAAAATTTTTTTCTAATCCCTTCCCTGTACTTTCATTGGTTCTTTGATGAAAAGCAAAGGACGGGAATCAGTCATGACAGGATTATAAGCACACATCACGAAGTGGGTGAGCTCAGGCTGGGGTTAGGGCCCTGCTCTAACCCTGGCTATGGGATTTAGGGCAAGCCACTTAACCTGGCTAAACGTGTTTCCTCTGTAAAATGCAGATACAGTGTTAATACCAGTCTCACAGAGTGGTTACGAGTCTCAGAAGATTGTCTCTATTTGAGAGTACTTTGAAATGTAATGGATAAACAATTTTAATCTCAATGTTATTATACCTAGAAGATTATAACAATTTGCAGGTTATCTCTAGCAGGCTGTGATATTATGCAGTTTAATATACACTAATACTCACTGGAATTGATTTTATCATTTTGTGTATTTTTAATGCATCATTGATGCTTAAGGACTTATTGGTAATAATTGTTTAGTAGTAGTTTACTAATAAGTATAGATATAGCTGTTATAATAATGAGGATGATATGCCACGTCTTGATGACAAATCTATATCTTTCTACTATGGCTTGGATGGATATAAATACATATGTACATATATGAAATGTGAAAAGAAATTGTCATTAAAAAACCAGAGACTATTTGAAATCGCTAATATTTAAAGCTTTTTTAAAAAATTTCTTTTGATTCTGTGAAGTAGTTAATACTTCGAATAAAGAGTCATTGGGGTCCTAAATAGACTTAAATGTGTCACAAAAGCATCTCACGTTAATCAAAGACCAGAATGCTATGCTGTGTCTAACACAGATTCCAGATTTTTCTTACTAAAACACAGCTTGAGATGTCAGCACCTGCTAATAAAAATAACTTAATTCTTGTGAAAGTGGCATGTAGTATTAATAAAAGCTCAAATATCTCTATTATGTTACATTCTCAATTAATTAATTCATTTTGGCTTGCCAACTATTTTCTTTGCTCTCTGAAAGCCCTTATTTAAAAACCTTTAGTACAAACCAACCACAGCTTGTGATGCTTTTCCTCCTTCATAAAGAAACCTCTCAGGTTCCAAATATAGTGTTTTGGAAAGAGTCCAAGATTTTTATTGGGGGCACACTGTTGGAAAAGCATAAAATTTAGTGGAAAGACATGTCATGGGGTCAGTACCGAGGGGATTTTCCAAGCCCACAGAAGTGACAACTAGCTTGGGGAAAAAATAGCTCTCTGCTACATAATGTATGTGGTCCCTTCTCCAAGGCATATGCACCCTCCACACTGCCTCCTATCATCTGCTTAAACCACTATGGTTAGACACAAATGATTAAAAAGTGTTATAAGACATTTTCCCTTACTGTCTCCCCCCTCAAAGGTAGCTAAAAGCTCCAATAAAGCAGGCCCCACATTTCAGTCCTAGATTGCCTCGCAAGTGTAGGAACTCT